CACCACACACGGCCTCCCAAGGCACTCCTGCCACTCGCTCACGGGACTTGTCCACACGATTTACTGAGGCTATACGGCGGAATTTGTGTGTAATCTGTTTGCATATAAGTCTCTCTGTGTATGTACAGCCTCTGTGAAGCTTTTTTTCTTCACAGATGGTGCAGTGGTGAGGGGCGGCCGTGGCTATCGGTGGCGCGTGGGGGGTGAAGGGAGAGGGGTGACGTGGTGACGTCACCGCGTTGAGGCAGCGTGTGTTATGACGTCACCGCGTTGGGGCAGCGCATGGTGATGTCACCGGTTTGTGAATGTGCGTGGTGACGTCACCACGTTGGAGGAGCGTGCGTGGTGACGTCACCACGTCCATTACACAGCAGCAGCAGACAACTTGAACAGCTCGGACATTTTCTTGGTTCTTTCGGTAAAGTCACGTAGAAGGGAAATAAAATAATAAAAATAAAACATAATGAAATAATTCTCACGACGTTTCGGCCACAACGCAAGCAGCCGTCCTCAGGTGAAGAACAGGTCTGTCGGGAAGACAGCGTCTAAATGAAACGCCCCAGGCTTGGAGCGTATATTTAAGCTGCTGGGTTGGAGGGCGAAGGGGCGCCTTGACAAAATAATTTACATATCAACAGAGTAATTTAGCCGATTCATGGGAAATGCAGATATGGGATTAGTACTACTTGTGAAATGCGTAGGAGGTGGGCGGGGGGTTTCAGAGTCATTATGCCCGTGCATTATGCAGGATTAGCAGCATCAAAGGGAGGGGATAGGGGTAGGATTAATAAACGAAAGGAATGTTAATAGTATGGAGCTGCAGTAACTAAACCACCACGTAAAAAACTAAAGTATAAACTACATAGTATCAGTATACTAAATATACTCTCCAATAAGCTGAGCTACTAACAGTAAGTAATACATTACAATTCTATATCGCAAAAAATATAATATGTTTCAAGCTAAACTTTTTTTCTTACATCACAACGGGTCTACACTGTACTAAATACTGGCAAAGACAAACCCGACATTAAATTACATGCTGTAATAATATACACCACCCTATACCTTTGACTATACATTGTAATATTACACTATGTATGATTCTACCCACCCTACTGTATATCACACTGCTGTATATTCACTCTACAATTACGATACTATATCTTACCTTATACATTGTATTAAACATTACAATTTTATACTATTTATTATTATACAATCTGCTATACACTATACCATTGACCATCGGGTGAAAGATACCAAGAGGAAGCAACGAAATATGTCAATGGGAGAGTGGTGATAGGAGACTTGCAGCAGAGCAAATAATCAATTCCCTGCGGAGAATACAAGATATATAGTCAATGCCAGTGAGTGGACTGCGGTCTGAAAGTCACCGTTAACGTGAACACAATCAGTTAAAATCCAAAATGGTTTATTACGTCCTTCCAATGATTGCTGAGCCAGAATCCATCTTCTCGGTTGAAATTGGCTCTGTGTTTGTATATGTGGATCGCCTCATGAATGGCTTGCAGAGAACCTCTGCCTTGGAGAAGTCAATGTCATGGGAGCCCACTGAATTGTAACAGTGATCTGCCACGGCTGAGGTGTTTGTCCTACCGTGTTTCAGGTCTGCTTTATGTTCACGGATGCGGTCCGAGACATGTCGTTTGGTTTCTCCAATGTAACTGCTACCACAGAGGCAACTTAGTTTGTAGACGCCAGGGTACTGTATGTCTGGAACCACATCTTTTACAGACGGGACCAGATCACGGATTTTATGTACTGTGTTGAATCGGACCTGGATCTTGTGTTTAATCAGGATTTTGGAGATCTTTTTTGTGACCCTAGCAATGTAGGGTAAGGTGATGGTTTTGAAAGGCTCCTCAACAGGATCCTTCTTGATGGTTGGAGTGATGGCTTTGCGGATTGTGTAGTCGGAGTAACCATTAGCCTTAAGAGCTTGGCGTACGTGTTTGAGTTCACTGGCAATGTGTTCCTGGTCGGAGATGCATTGGGCTCTATGGTATAGAGTCTTGATGAGGGAATTCTTCTGGGATGGATGGTGGTGGGAATCCGGTTTTAGGTAAGGTAAAATCCTGATTAAACACAAGATCCAAAGAAGATGAATCCCTGCAGTCACGAAAGCTTTAAATCGAAACTGTGATTATTGGTTCAGACTTACAACTGCCTTGGGAACGCCCGACTATAGGATTATTACCTGGCTTGTACCCACGGCTTGAATGACAAATAGGGTTGCTAGAAGACGAGGTTCTTGTCCTTGCATTCAAATCCATCCACTGCCTGAACAAACAGATGGAAAAACAGGCGTCATCGTTTTCCCAAGCTCTGTTGTCCTTTACCTGGATGTTTGTACAACTCCATTCGTTTCTATAAAAACTAAACTAAATTTTTTTTCCAGGTAAGTAAGTCCCACTGAGCTATGTAGCACGTTTTCAGACGCGACCTGGCTATCACAAATGATAGCTCAACGAAGTGGCTTATCAAGTGTAAATTTATATCAGCAGTCAAATACTCTAAACGCATGTTTCTGAATGTGGAGGGAAAAACCGGAGGCTCCGAATAAAAATCCACGCGACCACGAGGAGATTATGCAACTCCAAATATGCAGGCGTCAGGTCGGGATTGAACTCACGACCTCATGTATACCAGACGAGGTAGTTAGCATCTCGCCACAGTGTGAGGGAAACCAATGTGTGTGTGTAGTCTGGTTTGGGCGATAACAATCCCTGTACAGATGACATTTGTTCACTTGCTGTACTGCCATCATGCCATGGCAAGCCAGGAGGTCGCCATCTCGATGCGCACAGGTAATGAGATATTGAGTTTGTGATCCACCAACCCTTGCCGCCAGCCTGTTCATTCCAATCCAATAACTCCATGCTCCCAGCATCTGCTGCTGTCCCACTGCAGTGTTCATCAATGGGTCTCTATAAGTCTACGGGTTCCTCTGAGTGGGTCTTATATACTCGATCTGATATATGGGACTGTGCACGTGTGGGTCTCTACGTTAGTCTAAAGTGGTGGCCATTCTCGTAGCCTCTATACCCACAATATATGTAACTATCCAGGCAACTTTACCTGTCCCCTGCCTAAAATATTGTGAGAACCCCCCTCATCAACACTGGCTCGGTAACCCCCTTGATTTTTTTCTGATTGTCACCAGGTGGGGACGTGAATAAGTATTCAAAGTTTAACATGCCAAGAACTGGAGAAACCAGAATGAGCCTCATCTGCAAGCTTAAACTGGTGCAGGAGTCTGCCAGTAGCAGGCGATGATTGCAGCTGCTGTGTGCAATCACAATTGCATGCACAAGGGCGTGGGTTCAACCCTGACGCCTGTATATTTGGTGTGTGCATGTTCTCTCTCCCTTTGATCCTGTGGATTTTTCTCTGGATTCCTCCGGGTTTTCACAACATATTTAGAATCAACAAATGCTAAGATAATTTGGCTGCTGTAAATTTCCACATTATAAGCCTTCGTTTTTCGATAATTTGTGATTGGCAGGTTGCTTTATAAAAAGAGCTATACAGCTCAGTGGCTCTTACCTGGTAAAATAAAAATAGTAAATAATTTTTCGGTGTCATTATTGGAATTAGGAAAATGACACTTTGCGCACAATGGGGCCTACCCTTGTGAATGATGTCCGAGGATGGTGAACGTCGACTGTGTAGTAGACAGAGCAGTGGTGGTGACAGCACCCGCAGTCGTGGAACCACTGAAACGACATGGCAAGCACTGCTGCAAGGCCACCTCGCTGCTCCAAAACGTGGGTCAATCGATCTTTATTCTACGTGCCAATATCGCCCTCACTAAAGTAGGCATCAATGCACGTTACAGCATGACGGAGACGGTACTGAGGGCTTAGAATAACACCGAATGGGCAAAATAGAGTGCAACCATACGCAATTAATATATACCGTGGAATATTTTTTATTCATAAATAAAATAAAAACTAGAGAAACCGTTTAAAATATATGAAATTGGATGTGATTGGTGGACAAGTTGTCTTTGTTGTAACGACATTGAGCCAACTTGTTATTTGGCCCTTATGCAAGTTAACCGCGCATTGTACGACCACTGTTTGCAAAGCAACGAGGGTGGCCTGTGGTAAAATATTAAAATTTTTACCAGGGTAATATCCCTCGAGATGGACAGATGGAGGATGTGTGTACAATAGGTAGAGTTGGTGATATATTCACACTGGAAGCAAAAGGCTCAAGATTCCAGGTTGAGTAGACAAATTCCATATCGCATGCCACAATGACAGCCAAGCAAATCGTTGCATTGGGGTGATTACACAGAGATGGAATTACAGGACATGATGAGATATCTACAACTATACCAACTTTTTTTTTGTTACCAGGTAAGGCTCACTGAGCTAGCTATGTGGCTTTTTTTCAGAAGCAACCTGCCTATCACAAATTATAGCTAAATGAAGTGGCTTATGTGGGAATTGATTGCAGCCAAATTCTCTAAGCGCGTGATATTGTTGATTCTAAATGTGGAGGGGAAAACCGGAGGACCCAGATACAAATCCACGCGACTGAGGGGAGAGAGAGAGATGCAAACTTTAAATATAAAGCAGGCATCAGCTAAGGGAGATAACATCTCGTAGCCACCGTGGCACCCAATCCATTGCTCTGTCTTACCATAGACATCAACTTGTGTGCTGAGCTGTGGAAGGATGAGTTTATCTCCCGATACTCATCTCATTTATGAGCCACCGCAGCTGAGCATCACTGATTTATATTAACACTCATTTCTTTAAATGTATATATATTTTAAAAAGATGATTCCTTTGATACATTTTGTTCATGTCAAGGTGTGTACAGTAGCCGTGTTCACCTTGAGGCTGCTGTTTGTGCACCTAGGGGTGCGGGTTCACATTCCAGGCAGTGTCTCATGATGTCAGTGACGACAAAGAAAATATTTTAAGTATTTTACTTCCTTCTTCACTGTCACTATAAGAGAGAGGTCCTGGTTCAGAGTCTCTCTGAGCCACACAGCGAGCGATCCCAGCGAAGTCATGGGTCATGGCGAGCGCGACTCCCAGTGAGAGTGTGGATAGTGAGCTGCGCTGTTCCATCTGCCTGGGCACGTTCCTCTGCCCCTCGACGCTGAGCTGTGGACACTCGTTCTGCATCCGGTGCCTGGAGGCTGCCTGGGAGACGGCGAGCAGCTTCAGCTGCCCGCAGTGCCGAGCGACCTTCCCTGTGCGACCCCAGCTGAGGAGGAACGTGGCCCTCGCCAACCTAGCGGAGCAGCTCAGAGTTGGAGACAGGATGGCCACAGCCGTCGTTTGTGACATCTGCAGTGATGGCCACACTCCTGCAGTGAAGACCTGTCTGAGATGTGAGATGTCCTTCTGTTTTTCCCACTACAGGCCTCACAGGGAGAATCCCAGGTTGAAAGACCACATTGTGGTGGCTCCCATCGCAAACCTGGATGAGCGAAGATGCCCTAAGCACAAAAAGGAGCTAGAATTCTACTGCACAGTAGACAGCAGCCTGGTCTGCTCATCTTGTACCATCGCAGGTAAACACAAAGGACATGATGTCACCACGCTGAAGGATGAGCACGAAACACGGAAGGTGAGGTCCTCAGATTGAGACACCACAACACAATCTGACTAACTCTGTCACTGGGCTGCTCAACATCTGATGAATAAAACAAAATTTCGTGTTCATGCTCTCTCTTATAAATTATTTTAGCTCTGTCTGTGTAGCTAATGTTGTAGTTGGCGTTTCAGGAAACAGTCTTTGGATGTATTGCATGCCAGGCTCTCACTAAACCTTAAAGCCGTATTAAGGAATTAAGTGGGTAGATATTTGAGACAGATATCACAGCCACCTGATAGACAATTATATTAGAGGTATCTTCCAAACTAGACAGCTGTGGGCACATGGGCCCTTGGGTCCGAGTCGGTACGGACATCAAACCAGCACGGCTCCCACCGGCTGCTGCTACAATGAGGCATCAGCGTACCCACTCCCCATTCCCCCCGTCTCAGTCGCCATACAAAGGCGGCGTGGAGATGAGGGCCTTTGCTGTGGATAGGTCGGTGTGGAGGGAAGGGCGGTGTGAGAGTCTACCACAGGTGATGTCTCGTCTCTCACTACAGACGCGCGTTGGGGAGGAGACGCGAGCGGTGGAGGAGAAGAGGAAGGAGGCAGAGGAGTCCGTGAAGCGGATGGAGGCCGCTCGCAAGGAGGCGCAGGTACCGTGTCTGGGTCTGGCTTATTGACCCCTGTGACCTCCACCCAGTGTGAAAGTCGTGGAGGTCAAAATGCATTCAAGCGAACAACGTGCAGCTTCATAACTTTGATGCCTGTTACTATAACTATTTAATTCACTTTCAAACTCAACATTAAGGGGGTTGTACGTTTACCGCATTCGATAACCATATCGGTGAGCCCGCTGTGAGGTCAGGTAACTCGGCATCGCGTCTTCCGCTCCTGTGGCAAAACAACTAAAATGTAGACAGTGCCATGGATTCTTGGGGTGGAGCTGTGGTGCAGTTGTTGCACTGCACTGGAGGTCGTACACCGGAAGGGACGCAGAGGCATGAACACCGCACGGCTGCACCGCATGCCATCCCTAATTGCGTCCCCGGAGTCTATTTTAACTTAAACTATTTTATATTTTACTAAGTCAGTCCTCACAGAGCTGTATAGGTTTTTTTCCAGAAGCGGCCTGGCTATCACAAAGGATATATCAACCAAATGGCTGAAATCATCAACACGTGGACATGCATAGCAGCAGCCAAATAATCTAAACGCCTCTAGATACGTAGGGACCCATGGAGACCCACAGATATACATAGGGACACAGAGATACAAAGAGAGCCATAAAGATACGTTGAGACCCATAGAGACCTACTGACACCCATAGATATGTATAGAGATACAGAGACCCATAGACTGTACTATTTTTTTTATTTTACCAGGTAAGGCCCACTGAGCTGTATAGCTCTTTATTGGAAGCGACCTGGCTAGCACAAATGAAAGCTCAGCATAGTGGATGATCGTAATGTGGAAATGTATAGCAGCCAAATACTCTAAACGCGTGATGTTGATTCGAAATGTGGAGTCAAAAACCATAGGATCCAGAGAAAAATCCACACAACCACAGAGCAAACACCTGAACTCCAAATATACAGCAGGCATCAGGGTCGGGATCGAAACCACGACCTGCTGTATACCAGGCGAGGGAGTCAACATCTCCTAGCCACCGTGGCGCCCACATGCACACACGGAGTGGCTCATGGCTCAGGGGGCTAACCGTGGTCCCCGCGTCTCTGCAGGAATCGGTGGCCGGGATCAGGGGTCGCATCATGGGCAAGTTCGCCCACCTAAAGAAGGCTCTGGACGAGGACGAGAAGGAGGCTCTACGTCGCGTGGCCGTGAAGGAGCGCGAGCTGCTGTCCCGGATCGACGAGGACATCGCTCGTCACAAGCGGGAGATCGGCGTGCTCCAGGCGGCGGCCGCTCGCCTGCGCAATCTGCAGCACGAGAGGGACTCGCTCGCCTTCCTGCAGGTGGGGGGCACCTCTGTGGAGACGCCGTTTGGGTGTCCAGAACAGAGTGGGTAGTGGCAGAGGGGCTCCTGGTCCAAGGGTAGAGACTTAACTCATGATCACTCTCTTTCTCTTCCACAGAGACACCTGGAGAAGCACAGGTATAGATCATTAATGTCTCACCGTTAAACACTCAACACGGGGCTGTGTGTGTTAAACACACGGGCTGTGTGTCAAAGACACACGGACCCTGTGTGTTACACACAGGGTGTGTATGTGTGTGTTAGACATACAGGCTGTCTGTGAGACACTGGCTGTGTGTGAGACACTGGCTGTGTGTGAGACTGGCTGTGTATGAGACACTGGCTTAATGTGAGACACTGGCTGTGTGAGACTTGGTCTGTGCGTGAGACATGCGGTGTGTGCGAGTCACGCGCTGTGTGTGAGACACGCGTTGTGTGTGAGAAGCTGTCTATGTGTGAGACACGGGCTGTGTGTCAGACACGGGCTGTGTGTGAGAAGCTGGCTGTGTGTGAGACTCTGGCTGTGTGAGACACGGGCTGTGTGTGAGACACGGGCTGTGTGTGCTATGGATGCTGAGTGTTCCAAAGCTGTGGTTAAACGAGGCTGTGTGTGATGCTGGTGGTGGTTGCCCCAGGAGAGAGATCCCAAAGGAATCTGCACCCCCACCTCCCACTTCACTGGACGCCACCACGATTCGCTCCCTTGAAAGAGTCGTGAACAGATTCCTGCCTCTTGTCTGTGAGTTCCTCAGTCTTGCACCCGCCTGTTCCGCTGTGTTGCACTGCACTTCTTTGCTCCCCACCATAAACAATTTCAACATGTAATGTCCCACTGATCTATGACTTATTTGTCATAATTGACCTGGACACAAATAATAACTCACAGGTGTCTTTTTACGTGGAAATGTATAGAAGCAACCAAATACTCTAATCGCTTGAAATTTATTTTAATTTTGAGGGAAACACCAGAGAACCCGGAGAGAAATCCATACCACCACGGAGAGGGATAGAGAGACGCAATCTGCAAATATACAGCAGGCGTCAGAGGGCAGTAAAGTGTAAACCATTCATGTACTGTACCTCTATGCTTCTACGTTCACGATGCACCTCGTTTATCAATGCGCATTGATGGCGTGGGGAGGCCCTAATCCAGCAGCGGAATGACAAAATGTATTTGCGTGGATGTGAGTGTGCGAGGCTGTAGTGGCTATTGTACAGATGTCGTGTTTGTAGAGAGACGCTGTGAGAGTGGCGTTAACATTGTGGTGCTGGCATCATCACCACTGTTCATTACCACTGCACACACACCCATGGTCATATTAGTGTAGTACTATTGTAATTCACAACTAATAGTGTAATGACTCGGACGGCTGGATACTTGGAGCCTCTTTATTAAAGACACAGTGACTATACTAGACCCGGACTTGGCTCTTCAAGCCATAGTTCGTTCCTTCCCTCGACCGTCACCGCTCCTCGTGCTCTCCCCTTTTATCCCCCTCGAGACCTCCCCCCCTCTCTCTCGAACTTTGCTGTCCTTGTTTTTCCCTCAGCCAATCCTCATTCTTCTTCTCTAACAGACCCCCTATATTCCTTCAAACACGTTTTCCTCCAATCTCTTTAAAGCCTCCGGAACAATCTCTGTGGAGGCCTCTTTCGGACAATCGGAGACCTTGGTTTATTTTCTCAATAGCCGTTAGGCTGCATATTAGATTGGGGTCATTTTAAGTCATTATACTAGTATGTGTACACGAGCACTAACGAATATTAATATGTGTACACAAATACGAATGAATACCAGTACAGTATATGTACTCAAATGCAAATGAATACTAGTATGTGTACACAAACACTAATGCATACTAGTAAGTGTACATAAATACTTACAAATACTGGTATGTGTACACAAATACTTATGAATACTAGTATGTGTACACAGATTCTTACGAATACGAGTATGTGTACACAATTGCTTATGAATACTAGTACGTGTACTAATCGGACCTGCGGGCAATGCACCACGCTTTGTCGTCAACTGCCCAGGGAAGTGTATGAACCCGTCACATTGTATTTTGCTCGTTTGCGGCATGAACTTTCAAGGTGTTCACAATTGCCGCTGTCCATACTTCGTGCATGACGTGTAAGGGCGCTGGCCGATTGGACATGCCTGCAGGAGCCATACCCAGCTGTGTTTCTTTGGGAGGTTCAGGTACCCTGCCATATATGAGGTAGAAGGGAGAAAATGCCGTGGAGGCAATTGAGGCCAGCCTATATGCTGCCAAGACCCAAGGAATATGGAGATCCCAGTCGGTTTGCATCGTATTTACGAATTGACAGAGCATTGCTAAGGTTCTATTTAGCCTTTCCATCATACCATCCATTTAAAGGTGGTATTGGGAAATTTGCCCCATCTTTGTGCCCAGCGCCTCGCACATCTCCCGTAGGAGTTTTGATTTAAAATGTCAGCCCTGGTCGGTGAGGTTCTACTTTGGAGGGCATTTGCCCATCACATACCAGTGAAGTAATTGCCATCTGATCAGGCAGCGGCCAGGCCATTGGCAACCTTGTGAAATAGTCAACCCCCACCAGGAGAAATGTATTTCCCCTTAGGGAGCATGGAAAAGGTCCGAGAGTATCGAGAGTGACCAATTTGTTGACTCTAGAGACAACAATGGGCTGTAAGAGAGCCTGTGGTATGTGTGCAGGTGGTTTCTGACGCGCACACCCTGTGCAACCCGCGACCAAGTTAATGACATCAGCGGATATACGCCGTCAGTAATAATAATTTTGCAGGGTCAAAAAAATATTTCAGCATGCTAGATGCAATAGTTTGTTCACGTGAACCTCCCGCATTAACCTGCCTCGCTCAGGTGTGGGCACCATCAGACATTACCAGCGAGTGGTCCAGTCCCACCACATCAACAACCCCTCGTGCAGCACAAACTGAGACCCCACAGGGGAGCTCGACACGGATAGGTCTGCTTTTACTCGGCGGCACAAGGGTAGCAGGCTGGTATTGTCGACTTGCAGCTGTCCCCACGGTTCCCTTGCCATTGGTTCCGCGGGCAGAACCGCTGTTATCATCGCCGGCGTCTCCAGGACGGTAGGCTTGCATCGGCCAGCACCCGATGTAGGCCCTTCCGATATACAATTGTGTACAAGTACTCCTGCAATTTCTCCAGCCAGCACACCTGCTGACCTGGCGGCTGGTCTATGCGCAAGGTGTACTGCAGTGTGGCATGATCAGTGCAAACTGTAAATTGTCTGCTGTATAGGTAAGGTCTGTATATCTGTACGAAGTACACAATTGGCAGCAATTCTCGGCGAGTTACACAGTAACAGTGCTCCACCGGTGATAGAATGTGACTACCGTAGGAAATGACCACTTCAACCCCGCCCTTCACCTGAGAGATGACAGCCCCTATCCCCAGACCACTGGCATCCGTGTCTAGGATGAAGGGCAGGGAGAAGTCCGGATATGGCAGGGACGGAGCCTCTGTTAGCCGATCGCGCAGCGTGACAAAGGCAATTTCTTCCTCTACCCCCCAGTGAAACTTATGGTACTTGGCTGTCAATGCGTTCAAAGGCTTCGCAATTGTGGCAAGATTTGGGACAACCCAGCGATAATACGATGTGAAGCTGATAATACTGCACACATCACCCATGGATTTGGAGGTTGGCCAATGTCGCACGCACGCAGTTTTCTCGGGATCTGTGGCAACACTCGACTCGCTCACCACGTGACCCAAATACCGAACTAATGTTTTCATCAATACTCTTGGTTTATTCGGTAAAGTCACGTAGATAAAAAAAAATATATAAATACAATCAAAGATAAAAAATAAATAAATTAAATCACGACGTTTCGGGTGCAACACAAGCGTACGTCATCAGGCGGGGACAACCACAGCAAGAAACAATTGCTGAAGTAGGCAAAGAGCTGATTGTGACAAGGTATTATATAGCTGAAGAAGGGGGTAGGAGCCAAGGGAAGTGTGGGGGCGGGGCGTGGGTCAGAGGAGAGTGGCAAACATGATCCAAAAGATGAGAGAGGGTGGGGGGGGGGAGGAAACGTGGGTCAGAGTGGAAAGCTGCAGGCTCGTGATGGGAGTGAGCAGGGCTGGGAGTAAGAAACTGGAGATGCTGATATGAAAGTAAACTATGAAGCAGCTAAGGTTTAACTTGGTTAATAACATCCTTCCAATGATTGCTCAATTTGTATCCATCTTCTCGGTTGACGTTATGTCTATGTTTGTATATCTGGATGGCTTCATGAACAAATCTTTGATGGTAGCCAGACGGCTTGCAGAGCACTTTGGTCTCGGAGAAGACAATATCATGAGAGCCCACAGCGTTGTAGCAGTGATCAGCCACGGCGGAAGAGTTAGTCCTGCCATGTTTCAAATCTGCCTTGGGCTCGCGAATAAGGTCTGATACATGTCGTTTCGTTTCCCCAATGTAACACTCACCACAAATGCAACTCAGTTTGTAGACTCCAGGGTATTGCATGTCAGGAATGGCATCCTTTACGGATGGGATTAGATCACGGATTTTGTGTACTGTACTGAATCGGACCTGGATCTTGTGTTTGTTTAAGAATTTGGAAATATTTTTGGTAACGCCTGCTATGTATGGTAACGTGATGGTTTTGATCGGAGTCTCAGGGGGTTGTTTCTCCATGGTTGGAGAAACAGCTTTGCGGATAATACGGTCCGAATATCCATTCATCTTAAGGGCCCGGTGTACATGTTCTAATTCACTGGCCAGGTGGTGTTGGTCAGAAATGCAGTGGGCCCTGTGGTGTAGTGTTTTGATGAGGAAATTCTATCAGGTTTCAGATAGGAATCTGTGTGGGTGGCTTTCCTGTAGACAGAGTGTCCCAAAGAGCCATCATGCCTCCTCTCAAACAAAACATCCAGGAATGGTGGCTTACCATCCTTCTCCACCTCCATGGTGAAATTGATGAATGAGTGTATGGAGTTAATTTGGTCAAGAAACTGGTTCAATGCTGGCAAGCCATGTGGCCAAATGATGAAAGTGTCATCTACATATCGGTTTAATTTTAAGTTGCTGAGCATACCCTGGACAACACCGCTTAGAATTGCTGCAAATGTTTGTTAAATGAGCGATCAAAAACGATGATTCATCCAGGTATGTAAGGCATGACTCCAATTCCAATCCCGCTAAAACTTGTTCCATCACCCTTTGGAATGTGGCAGGAGCAGTTTTAATACCGATCGGGAGACGATTAAATTGATATAGCCCTTAATGTTTTAGGCATCGAGGCTTCGTCCAAGGGCAGTTGGCAAAATTCCAAGAGCAAATCCAGTGTGGGATTTTTTTTTGCCCCCGACAACGAGTCGAATGAGTCAGCAATGCACAGGAGCGGATGTGCATCAGCCAACTTGACCTTATTTGGACGGCGAAAATCATCGCAAAGACTCAGACTGCAGTTTGGCTTTTTGACCAGCACAACAAGAGCCCCCCCAAAGGATAGTGGATGGAGAAATGATCTCCCCTGTTAGCATGTCATCCACAGCCTATTGCAAATGTAGCTTCTCCACAGGGCTCATGCAATATGAATTTAGCCGAATAGGGGGTGAATTTACCTTGTCAATGTTATGTGCCGCCAAGAACGTGTGGCCTATGTCATATTGCCCCCTGCTGAATACATCGGAGAATTGCAGGAGCAATTCTCTTGGTTTTGTGTTTCTGACAATTCCAAATTTTCATCACGCATCTTTTCAAACCAATTTTCCTCGGCTAATGGAATCTGGTTAGCTACATCGGCTACCACTGTTTCCGTCAGGTCCCCCATTTCGAGAGATATAGGCATCACATGAGCTAGCTCAGTCCCCACCTGAACAGCGATCGGATGCTCCCCAACATTCAGCCCATGAAAGAATGTTTTTTGGTCCGCTGTCACAACTGTTTGCGCCTCTGCTAATGTTAACCTGTGGGTCGTCACATTTGACAGAACAATCACAATTTGTGAGTTGGCCCACATCGTGACTATTTGTTTTCAGAACCATAGCGGTGTCAACATTTGCATGCCTGGAGGTACACTCACGGACTTACTGACCAGCGCCTGCTCTGTTACCCCAGTCTCAGTACATTTTTCCACCGGTCGCTGAAAAAAAATGCGAGCTCCCGATGTCATTTCTATACAACCCTGGTCAGTGAGTATCCAAAAAGGCAAAATTTTCAAGAAATCGGTTCCCAGCAGGCATGGAACCGCTTGGGTATTTGAAACCAATATGGGTTCCGTAAAGGTGAGCTCCCAAATTTTACCTGTATTTCGATTTGGCCGCTACATATGTACTGATGACCGGTGCCAAGCGGCGGCTACTGAGCGGTAACATGTTGCATATAACGTTGGAATTAATAATGGCCGACGCCCCCGTATCAATCAAAATGTGGGCCTCTATCACTTCGATCAAGCCAACTACCACCAAGGTACCCGTGGCTGCCGCTATAACTCGCCGAGCCAGCGTATGCTGATTATCTGACTCGGGCCACTGGTGGAGAAGCAGGTCCCAACCTTTCCCCGAGGATTTGTCGACCACATCATCACCGACGCACACAGATACTGATGTACATCAAACGTGGCGAACCCCGTCCACCCGCAGACTGCCGCCACCACCTCTCCTCTCGCAGACCATGCTGCTCTCCACTGCCGCCAGAATGAGTGGGCCCCCGCTGACAACACTGCTCGTCCTGCAACCTGGGCAGGGGGCGCAGGCAGCCGTTTCCAGGATCCCCTCCTCTCGGGTGCCACCCAGGTCCATTGATTCATCTGTTCCTGGGTCTGCGGACACTGGGCCACCCACAAGGAGGTCTGTGCCTCCTCCTCCACTTTGAGCAGCACCACAGTCATTTCATGCACCAGTGACAACATATTTTCCATCGCCAAAGAGTCCAGCACCGGTTCATCCAGCCAAGAGTAGGCCGCCTGGCTGAGCACTATCAGAGGACTGCGGTTGACGAGGGGCAACTCGGCTTCCTCTCGCTTGTGCTGCTGAAATTTTATCTTTGCGTTTGATGGTGGGTCGAAGATCTCCGCCATCTCGTGGCAGGCAGCTTGCAGCGTAGTTCTCCACTCCAGCAATATAGCCTTGAAGATAGCAAGGGCTTCATCATCCAAGGCTGTAGGTAATGCCTTCAGCACTTCAGCTTTGGACCAGTCCGATGCCTGATAAGCGGCCTCGAACCATCTGATAAAGGCCCCGCAGTCTCCACCCGCTGCCACAAACTCCTTCACTGGCCCCAGCCGGCGAGGTCGGTCGTCTGCTCTCTCCCTCGCCACCGGGGCTATCTCTGGTGATAGGGCCCTGGCCATCACCATTGCTCCGGATGTCTCTGGCTCCCCGACCTCTGCAGCAGTCGGTCGGACGACTCTGGCCGCCGGTTCTCCCGCCACCATCACTGCCGCTCCCGGTCTCTCCTCCCTCCTGGCAAGCTGCATCACCAGCTGGGGGACCGCGTATGTTAGGCGGTCGATCTGTCCTTCTAACTGTAGTGTTGTACAGACGGACTCTTCAACGTCTTTTGTAGCACACACCTTTATTTGTCTTATGAACACAGTCCCTATGCACTGAGGGGTATACGGTCCCCTCACCCGTTACACTCAGACGGTACAAGCCTCCGCACCCTACAGGCTACTTAATATCCCACTCTTTCAGTGTCCTCTGACTGGACCTAGGGGATGTCTCCCCGACCACTGGTTACACTGAACCCTAGCCCTTATAAGGGCTGGAGGGCTTGGTCCAGGGTCCTAGGCTTCTTCCGCCGTCTTTGGTCTTCGTGTAGCCGGACTCCCCCCAGAGCTCTGAGCGCTCTGGCTTTATACTTGTTCGTGGCCGGGCTGTCCAATCCCCGGCCACCTTGTGGAACCCTGTGATTGGTCGTTCCCAATCTGCTTTTGGATCCCAATTCACCCTATCTGACCTTGACCGTTTGGTCGCGCGGGAAAACCTTGTTTACGATTTGCTCTCCCAGTTTGTTAACATCGAGTAGTTAACTCTACTACATAACCACTCCCATCCCTGGGTCACGAGCAGCGCTTGGTTCAGTAGATGCTCCGGTTGGTGCAGCTGCCCCTCTACTGTCACCACCAGCACTGCTGCAGCCTCTCTCACATTTCCAAAGTTGATCTCCAGGTGCTCCTCAGCTGGGATGTTCTGGAGGAAAACCTTCTCGTCGTCGGACATCGTCGGTGGGTTTCTTCATCGGCTCGGGCGCGATATTCTTCTGAGCCCACTTCTGACACGAGTTGTAAAGACGCCGACACACATTGTTACTCAGAGCCCTTTTATTTAGACTCAACACTACACTTGCATTGGGCTTCGTCCTTGATGCTGTCCCCATTTAGACTGCCCGAGCCCCCTTTCTGAAAGCTTCGCTCACCCCACTTCCTTCATCCAATCCTGGTCATTCTCCTTCAACGTTTGTCAACCATCACCCCTACCATCAACCCCGCTTCCCTTTAACGTTCAAATCTCCCCTTCAATCCCTTTGAACCACGCTTCCTGACCAATCACTCTGGAGGCCTCTCTGCACCAATCGCAGGCCCTGGTTGACTTCCGGATTGTCATTTTGCATGTACACTTGTGTTAGGTAACTCATCTGTTGCCTCAGTCATTACACTAGTACGTGTACACAAATACGAATGATTACTAGTACTGTATGCATTTGTCATACATGTTATAATCATTGTTCGTTTGTTACATATCAATGTATTACGTATTGCAGTATCACTACAAGAACATAAATGATAACACAACACGCAATGTGTGTACACGCTACGTGCAATGCTCGTGCTGCTACTGCGCACGTGTTACTGTGACTGCTGTGTGGGTGTCGTTGCTGTCCTCACCACAGATGGATGCTCACCGACTCTGGACACAAACTCAGCCTATGACCTCCTCCAGATTTCCTCAGATCTCAGAAGGATGACACAGAGCGGTGTCGCCCAGGGTCGCCCCCTTCACCTACATCGCTTTGATTGGTGGGACCAAGCCCTGTGCTCTGAAAGCTTCTCGTCGGGTCAGCACTACTGGGAGGTGGACGTGCGGAGTGCGGGTGCTTCGTATCGGATTGGAGTCGCGTACGAGACGATACCACGGAGAGGGCGTGGTGTTGAGTGTAGCCTGGGAGGGAGTGACGTCTCCTGGAGCCTACAGAAAGCTGAGGGCAGATTCTCGGCTCTGCATGGCGGGGAAGAGACTTCACTATCGGTGCCGGAGCCTCCGCGGAGAGTCGGGGTTCATCTGGACTGGGACGCGGGGTTGCTGTCGTTTTACAGCGCCGACTCCATGGTGCTGTTACACTCGTTTCACCAAACCTTCGCTCAGCCCCTATATCCTGGGCTGTGGGAGTGCGGTGATGTTGGTGACTCAATGACGATTGTGGATCTGAGTGGTGCATCCCAAGACGACTAAGAGTGAACAACACAGCAAGCCATACAGCACACACTGGACACACTGGTTAGTTACTATATAGCTCTTGCCTTTTCTGATTAAGTGATTAAACATATGCTCATGTTACCGTTGATAACACTGGTCTACAGCCAAAATGCTACCGAAATAAATGTAGTCCAACTTTACTAATTCTGGGTCACTGAGAATGAAAATGATGCTTTAAATTGTTGATTGGCTCTCGTTTTCAAGATATGCTACTGGGTCAGTATACATGACCCTTGACTTGGGAATGGCGGAGGATAAGTGAGTTATAAAGGGAAGGGATCTCAATTTTAACCAGAAATGACTAAAATACATATTTGACTGGATCTATGACATAAATCAATGACTGGTTTTGGGCAGTACTTGCTTTTTGAGCAAGACAATGATTGAAGCAATCTGAAGCTGGTATTGCATAATACATGATATGAATTGCATCATGTTATTCTGAGAAGTCATGGATGGTGCAATCATAACTAGGCTACATCCCTCTGAACAAATTGCCCTATATCAGCACTAAAAGTCATACAGTGTCGTGCTCTCTTATTTGTCAGTGTTTGATTTTGCAAAGGGACACATTTCTGTTTATCCAAATTGAGCAGAAATGCCTCGTACGTGTGTGAACAAAGCAGATAACTTCTGCTATGTTTGTGGTGAAGTTACTTTGGATCACAAAAGTGCAGTGTATCAAGTAGGGTTAAGAAAGCCTGTCACCTTTATTTTGGCTGAAAAATTGGAGATCAGGACAAGATGTGGGCCCCACACATGTGCTTCAACCCTTGAGCAACAAATATTCGCCAGTGGTTGAACAGGAAAAGGAAATCTATGCCTTTTTCAGTGGCAATGATTTGTTACTTCTGCATGACGCCTCCAGTTAGGAAAGGTGTGTTAAAATTGACTGTGAATTATCCAAACATTCCATCAGCTGTACGCCCAGTACACCACGGAGAAGGACTGTTGGTTCCTGCTGCACCAGAATCATTCTCACTTGAGTCAGACGAGGAAGAGAAAGAGGATGAAACTTCTGGTCCTGAACCATCAAGGTCACATGACCCAGATTTTCTCCCATCATCCTCCTCTGAACCACACCTCATAACACAAGGTGAACTGAATGACCTTGTCAGAGAGTAAGGCAGAGCTGGGCTCCAGACTGCAGCAGTGGAATCTCCTAGGAGGTGATGATAGGGTTTCCATGTTCCGTGACCATCAAAAGTATCTTGTCCCATTCTTCTTGGAAGGTGATCTTGTAGCCTCCAACAACATCAATAGTGTGATGGCAGCCCTCATCGTTCATGATCCAGATGAGTGGAGACTGTTCATTGATTCATGGAAGATGAGTCCTAAAGCTGTTTTGCTGCATAATGGAAATGGTTTGCCATCAATTCCAGTTGGTCATCAGTCCATATGAAGGAAATCTATTATAACATGAAACAACTTTTGAGGTGCATAAACTATGCCCAATATCAGTATACAGCTTTGTGGAGATTTGAAGGTTGTTGCTCTCTTGCTTGGTCTGCTGACTGGATACACAAAGTAATGATGATTTCCCTGCGAATGGGATAGTTGCGCGAGACATTCCCACTACATCAAGATAGATTGGCCACTCCCATAGTAATTGGAGCCTGGGAGGAAAAGTGTTCAGCATCCACCACTTTTTGAATAAAGGAAATTTTGTTACCACCCTTACATGTCAAAGCCATGGATAAAACACAAGCAGCTTTCAAGTACCTCTGTGGAAAATGTCAAGGTTAAGTGAAGCTAAGATAAAGGAAGGTGTCTTTGTTGGTGCTCAGATTCGTGAAATTCTTCGGAATGATGCATTTGACAGTGCACTGCGTGACAAGAAACAGATGGCATGGAAAGCCTTCCAGTTAGTGGCAACATATTTTCTTGGAAACAAGGCAGACAACTATAGGGAATTGGTGGAAAACATCAAAGTCATACAAAAGACTTGGTTGCACTAAAGATACATTTTTTGCACTCTCATTTAGATGTTTTTCCCACTGAACTGCAGAGCAGTGAGCAACGAACATGGCGAGTGATTTCACCAGGACATTGCAACATTGGGGAAATGCTATCAGGGCAAATTGAGCCCATCAATGCTGGAAGACTATTGCTGCAGAGTGACAAGAGATGCTCCATTTAATGAAGCCAAGGTTCGCCAAGTAGACACTGAATAAGGACTAAACTATGTAGTTATATATACATAATAGTGTTTTGGTTTTTGTTTCGAAACATTTTATTTATATAACCTTTTTGCTGATTTTTTAAGTGTTACATAAACAGGACAGGTGACATGTTATCATGTGTAATGCGGGCGTAAACGGCCTCGCGGATATGACGTCACGAGGGGAGGAGTTAGGTCACGTGGGAGAGAGGGATCAAGTCTTAAGGGGGAGAAACCGGAAGAGACGGGAGAGAGTTGGGGATTGAGATAGAGGGAGGCCACGCAGGGCGGAGATCGGAGAGTGGCGAGATCGCCACACAGGGAGCGAGACTCGGCACTGTCGGCCAGCGGTGACCGAGCACGGAGGGCGAGCAGCAGCGGTGAAGCTGCTGTGAGGGCAGCCGGAGGTCTGCACGGGGAACCCAGCAGCAGTGGGGCTGCATCGGAGTGGGGAGAGGCTACGGGAGCGAGGGCAGCCTGGAGCTGCCGAGCGGAGAGGCTCTGAGCGAGGACCGTGTGGGACAAGTGTAAAGGAACCCGAATAAAGGACAACAGAGACAGACACAGTGGACGAGTCCTTTATTACACATGTAAAGCAACCATGCTCCCGAAACGTCATGATTTATTTTATTTTATACCTACGTGACTTTACCGAAAGAATCAAAGAGTACGTGAAAATACCAATGTTTACAATTTATGAGTAAATATTTACTATCTATCTTATCTTCTTACCTATAAAAGTCACTTTTTGTCTGTCTATCTGTCTGTCCCTCTGTGTACGCTCGCTTGCAAGGGATTTGGCGCTCGGGCCGCGGGGTTTAGGACGGAAAAAATTTGCCGGTGGGCGCGCCCCGAGCCCCGCGGTGGGAATAGGCATTTCCGTTTTTTCGTCCCTAAACTTTAAAGCGGTCCGATTATCGATTTGATGCGATTTCTCTTTATTTATTTATTTATTATTGCCGGCCGGCACGTGACGAGGCACGCCGTTGCGCATGCGCGAGACGCCGACCGAGGCCGGTTGCCCCTGGCAACGCACGCAAGCCATCGCTGGAGGGCGGACGCCATTTCTCACTCCCGTTAAAAATACGCACACGCGTTTACTCGCGACGCTGAGGTAAATTCTTCAAAGTTTCACGTCCTCATCCCCCCCCACCCCACCCCAATGTGTGCATTTACTATTATAGGGTCGGTAGATAATAACATTTTTAGCGATTAGACAGTATTATTGTAGCGCGGGGGGGGGGGGGGGTAGCGGCCCAGCCCCCAGCCTCACCCGGCTGGGCAATCTAGGCGAGGCCGGAGGCTCTGCACGTTACTAGGCCTCGACACGCCACTCTTGTCAGGCGAGGACTTTGTGCTCTAGAGTCGATATACCCAGCGTTGCCCGGGGGAAAAATACATTTAAAATCTTCTGAAAACGTTAAAACATAACATACCAATGAAAAATAAAACTCTGTAATTAAAAATGTAAATCCCCAGCGCGCCAAGAATCGATTCTATGAATCGCGCAAAGGAATCGAAGGTTGTAGATTCCTTTAGAATCGCCCTATTCCCGTTTAACAAACTGCGTGTTGCCAAGTTTGCTTAACATTTCCAACAGACACACATTCACGCATTTAGCTTTTACATTTAACATACAAAACGTCAGCATGTACTGCTGTCATCATAGGCAAAAATATATACACCCTCACCAATCTCCCTCACTCTCTCCCTCACCGCTCACCACTCACCATCACTCACACTCACCCTCACCACTCACCCTGACCACTCACCATCACCATTCACGCTCACCACTCACGCTCACCACTCACACTCACCACTCACACTCACCATCACCACTCAACACTCATGCTCACCACTCACCCCTCACCACTCACCCCCACCACTCACCATCACCACTCACACCCTTACCACTCACTCTCACCACTGACCCTCACCACTGACCCTCACCACTCACGCTCACCACTCACCACTCATGCTCACCACTCACCATCACCACTCACCATCACCACTCACACCCTCACCACTCACTCTCACCACTCACCACTCACGCTCACCCTCACCAATCACCCTCACCACTCACACTCACCACTCACACTCACCCTCAACACTCACCCTAACCACTCACCACTCACTACTCACCACTCACCCTCACTACTCACCACTCTTCCTCACCACTCTTCCTCACCATTCACCACTCATCCTCACCACTCACCACTCTTCCTCACCACTCTTCCTCACCACTCACCACTCACGCTCACCACTCACCCTCACTACTCACCACTCACCCTCACTACTCACCCTCACCACTCACACTCACCACTACTACTCACCCTCACCACTCTCCCGCACCACTATCTCTCACCACTCACCCTCACCACTCACCCTCACCACTCACACTCACTGTCAACACTCACCCTCACCACTCACACCCTCACCACTCACTCTCACCACTCACACCCTCACCACTCACACTCACCATCACCACTCACGCTCACCAATCATCCTCACCCTCACCCTTACCACTCGCCCTCACTACTCACCACTCTTCCTCACCACTCTTCCTCACCACTCTTCCTCACCATTCGACTCTCATCCTCACCACTCACCACTCTTCCTCACCACTCACACTCATGACTCCCCCTCACTACTAACTAATCACCCTCAACACTCACCCTCATCACTCACCCTCACCACCACCACTCACCCTCACTCTCACTACTGACCCTCACCACCAACACTCACACTCACCACTCACCCTCACCACTCACACTCACCACCACTACTCACCCTCACCAATCTCCCGCACCACTCTCCCTCACCACTCACCCTCACCACTCAACACTCACCCCTCTCCCTCACCACTCACGCTCACCACTCACCCTCACCAATTATCCTCACCCTCACCACTCACCCTCAACACCACCACTCACCCTCAACACTCACCCTCACCACCACCACTCACCCTCAACACTCATT